CTTCCTGAGCTGACTCTTAGTATCTTGGGTCAGCTTATGCTGGCTGCCATGGGGCTGAGTCTCCTTCTGCCACCAGCCAACAGGGGAGGCCAGGTCCAGTTGTAAGCTGTGTGGGCACAGTATGAGACAGTCCTGCTGTGGGCAGTGCCCTGAGGTAGGCACTGTAATCTAGGTTCTCCCACCTCATGGATGGGTGGTCTTTATCCCTTTTTATAGGTGAGGAATGGAGAAGTAGTCTGAATGTACATGATTACCTGTGTCCAGCTTCTCCCCCTTCCCAGACTTTCTCTGAGAAAGGCATGAGAGGCAGGGCCATGGTCCTACCTTGGAGCTTCCTTAGGGTGGCTCTGGCTACAGCAGCTAGCTGGAGCCATTCCCAGATGTCTCTTAGCCCAGAAGCCTCTTCTCTCATAGACAATACTAGGCCATATAGTAAAGGCAGTAAATGATTAGCCCCCTACCCCTTTCCCTGAGAGAGCTCTCCTCTGGAATAGCTACAACCATACAAGGCAGCAAGATCCCCTAAATTTCATAGGTCATGTGTCACCTGAGAGAGCACTCCTTTAGGGCAGCTATAACCATGTAAGGCAACAAGATTCCCCAAATTTCAGAGGTTATAAAAGTCACCTGAAACAATAGCATGCACTTCTTCTCACTTCTCTCTTATATGAGAGGGGTCTTACTTGTCCCTTTACTGGCAGTAAACCTTTTCTTTGTTCTTTGTACCTGGATGTCTTTGTGGTTTTTTTGGCAAAGTCTGATTTACTCTAACATCATCTCTAGCAGCCTGCCTGGCCTGGTCTCCCTTAAAAGCATATCAGCTTAAGTAGTTTCTTAAATGTAGTGATGGAGGCAGACACACTAGGCATTTGCTCCAACACTGTCAACTCCCTTGCCTGTGCCACACAGAGCCTAGATTCTAAGAGGAAATGGTTCCCAAGGATCTAAGGAGCTAGGCAGGAGGAGCTATAGATGCAAAACTGTCTCCCCTTGTGTCAGTCACTGTCCTGTGGATGGCAAGGGAATGAGCAAGCACTGGGGAGTAGGATAGGGAGAGGGTAGGTGGGCCTGTAGTGTGTCTGGGTGGCTGCCAGGGGCTTGGCAGAGGTTTCAGGCAGAGAACTGGCCCTTTGAGATTAAAGTTCAGGGTTTGTTAGGAATCTTGTCTTACAGATTAAAATAAAAGGGCTCACTGTTTGTTTTGAACACGTGGCATACAGCAGCACTTCCACTTCTTTGCTGGAAATCATCCAGAAATAACAAGAAGAATGAAACCAAAATGGCAAACTTAAATTTTGGCCAGACAGAAATAGAGCTAACTAAACCCAAGCTACCAGTGGGAGGGAGGCAGATGGCCTGAGTGGAAGAGTGATGTGTAGAGCATGTGGACATGGTATGCACACGGAGAAGCCAGGGTGTGCTGCTGCCATAGCAGATCTCTGAGAACGACTTAGAGCAAAGCCTGAGCCTGCCTCCAAAATGGGAAGTTGGAGAGTAGAGGGTACGGTCCTCAGGAGAGTTCCTCCTCACCCCCAATGCTGCCTCGTGGTTCACAGAACAGTAGAAGAGCTGCACGTGGAATCCATGCATGCTGCACTGGAGTGGCTGTGTCTCTGAGGAGTTCTCACAGTACTCTTGGTGAAGGAAATAGTGCTTCTGACTGAACTTACAGCAGAAATGTTAGGTTAGATCAGAGGAAAGAAATAGCTCTGTCATTCCCTAGTGTGACCTCCAGCACAGAATTGGATCTGACAGGCATTACCTTCTGTGGTGAGCAGTAAAGGTCATGTCACATAAGTTCATGAGGCCAAAACTCCAGAGAAGTAGAGAAACAGAACAGGAAAATAAGTCAGCCTGGAGTAGACAAAGTTTTTATCTTCATGTTTTGCTAAGAAATGAAAGCTGGATTCCAGGAGAATGTGAAGGCTGACCTCCAGTGCAGACACTCAGAGGAGCAATGTGAGGCAGAGAGAAGTCTCAGGCCAGGGGCAGGAGATGAGATGGAAGATCAGGAAGGAAGATGGATTAAGGAGCACTTGGAGAAGAAATGGCTGCCATTCAGTGAGTTCTGTATCTGTGGGAATTTAGGAAAATAGCAACATAAACACCACACATCCTGTAAGATACGTTTTGTAAAGGGTGTTAAGATAGGACAGGAAGGGATAAGACCAAGAACTTGTTTCTCACTATTGATAGCTGAGTGTAAAATGTCCTATAGAGGACATCAAGGTGTACTTAACTGTCTTGGAGCTCTCCAGAGAAACAGAATCAAGATTTGTCTGTTTATTACCTGTCTACATAGAGAGATGGAGTGTCTGATTGTAGGGGATTGGCTGACAGGGGTATGGAGGCCCAGAAGACCCACCCACCATGACTGATTGCAAGCTAGAGGCCCAGAAATGCCTAGGATAAAAGACAATGTGAGTGAGGCCTAAGGTCAGAGATGAAAGGCAATATATGGAGGAAGGAGCCTCTAGGGCAGGAGGAAAGGAGAGATGTCCTGGCTTAGGCAGCAAGGCAGGCAGAAGAAGAGCCTCATTTCCGGGCCCTTTGTCCTGTCAGCCTGAAGAGCTGAGGTGATGCTGTCCCCACTGGGGACACTGACTCAAACACACCTCACAGACACACCCAAGACACCAGGTTTCATTTGCATACCTGGCACAAGAAGTGGACATGTAGAACTGTTGCAGTCTGTATAAAGCACAAGGAGATAACAGATCTGACTGGATAGGACGCACAGATCTGACTGGATAGGACGCTGGATAGGACATAGATACTAGTACAGTAGAGAACCACAAAGTATGGGCGCAGGTACGATAAAAAGCGAGGAGTTATGAAAGTGGTCAGTACAAAAAGTACAATCTTCTGAATTTCCTGAGACACATAAAAGTAGGCAAGATAAAAAGACCACAGAACAATAGTTTTAAAAACTGTAAAGCAACATAAGAATGTAACACAAAGACATATATCAAAATATAAATGGGCTAAACTTTCCTACTGAAAGGAAAAGACTTTCTGGTAGTTACAGAGCAAAACTGAAGAGGCTAGATGTTGCAGGCTGCAAAGGCCACCTAGCAGTCATAAACACAGGCAGGCATTTCAGTCTGAATCCAAGCCTCTAAGCATTGCAGATAACAGGCAAATGCTCTGCTAAGTACTAAAGGTACAGATGGAACACAGAGTGAGGGGAGGGGCAAGGTTGGGGCACCTGCAACAGGAATCTAGTTTCTAATGTGGGTCATAACACACCAGTATGTAGCTGTTGTCCCCAAACTAGATAGTCTACTCTTTAGACAGTGCTTACAGAAAATGCTCAGGATTAATCAACTATTTAGTAATAATCTGTTAAACCTTTGTAAATTCAAGTATATGGGAGTAACAGAGCCTCCACTGGCTATGATGTGATGAAATTTGAAAGCAAGAACAAAACCAACAAAAGAAAAAGCTGTTCGCACTTGGAAACTTGGAAACAAATCCATGACAGGCAGAACGAAACATTCTGTCCTAAACAATTCCTGGTTTGAAGAAGAAATGCAATTCAAAGCGTAAAATAATGGTAATTATTGCAATTAGTATTCTATTATTAGTGTTTTATTAGTGTATTATTTCATTAGGGTAATGAAAACACTTCTCATTGGAGCAAGTAGAAACATCCGAATTCAAGGCTTAACTGTTATGCTATGGAATAAGAATGCATAAATATATACGAACTGAAGGCCTAGCCGTAGAAGTCAGACTCAAAATGGAAAAAGCCCAGTTTGACAGAAAGTAGGAACCTGTAGAGATCAAAGCAGGGGACTAGCAGGAAAGGAGCAGGACTGAAGACCTTGGAGCTCTTGGATGGAGGTGAGGTGAGAGCTTCTGGTACTGTTGTAAGGACACATCTGTGATGGCAGGGCCACATGGGTGGAGCCACCTGCCCAAGATTTAGCCTTCACAGAGCCCTGCCTGCATGGCTAGCTAACTAACAGATAAAATAAGGTTTTTACTTGAGCTCTGTTCAAAGTATGAATTTTATCACAGATCCCTTTCAGTACATACAAGCATCTGAAGTAGACTATATGTTCCTGAAAAATGGTTCACTAATATAGATTCTAGATGGAGGGAAATTCTAAATGGACCACTTATTATAGAGACACAGTAGGCCTTGCAACCCACCCCCGGCAAAAAAAGAAAAAGAAAAAAACAACAGCAGAAGTGCATTCAGCAAGGCCCAGATGCCTGGGACAGGGAGGAGACAGTGTCATATGGGGATGTTTAGGAGGGAGAATTGTGTTAACAGCAATAACCACAGAGGTTGCACAAACATTTGTGCCATGCACACTTGTACACATCATGGATTTGCTACACTAGCTGATGGCAGTATCAGCATGTGAACAATGGAAGCAGCAGCAACTAAAATTCACCAAACTGGTCCATTTTGTGTGACTGTAGCAAGGTACCTGAAACAGAGTACTTTAGAGAGAACAGGAAGTTATTTGACTTGTGGTCCTGCAGGCTGGACAGCCCAAGGTTGAGGGATCACATCTGTAGGAGCATAGGATAGCTAAGGGGCCTTTGCGCGGGGCTGAGGACTGACCAGAGCCTTATCTGCAGGCAAGGTCCTGGGGCCTCAGTGCTGTTTCTAGGCTTCAGCATTGGTGTCATGGAGTCTGCTTAGAGATATACCTGGTTGGACAGAGGGACAGCACAGGAGTAAGACTTGGACTCTAGGAAGCTCTTCTTTCTACCTGAGCTGAGAATGAGCTCTCTGTAGTTACACTGTCCCACTCTGCCCTGGAAATTTTGTAAAAGGTCTCAGCATTCCTAGGTGTCCATGTGTCTCTATGGTCAATGTACAAACAGCATTGGGGGACGGGGGAAAGGACTATGTGTGCATGAGCTAGAATGCCCAGTTGGTCTGGACTGTGAAGTGGGTTTGGGCAGAGTCCTGGGCCTCTGGCTGTCAGCAGGCATTCCTAGCCCAGTCCCTGCTGACTCCACACTCTGTTTCCTCGCAGTTGGAGATGGAGCTGAAGATGCTGAAGTCCCAGCCAAGCTCCACAGAACCCAGCTTCTCATTCTGCAGAGAGGAAGTGGATGCACTCAGGTATGCCCCTCACTTCTCTCGGCTGTCACTGTTGCCCCCACCTGGCTCCCCAGGAGCAGCTAGATCCTTTTCCTCCCTGCCTCCTGGAAGGACTTTTGAGTTTTCAGGCATATTCTACGCACCTGAATTCCTCTCCCAGAGCTACTTGTTTCCATTGGGCTGGGCCTTTCCTAGCATCCCTTTCCACAGCCAGCTCTGACAGCTGCTCTCTCAGCATCCACCCTGTCAGGACATCTGGGGGGATGCCTTGGTTGCCAGCAGCCTGACCCGTCTGCATGCCAGCTCTGGGCAGTGGTGTGTGAGGATGCATACAAGCATTTTTCAGGGAATTGCTCAGAAGCAACAGTCAACAGTGCTTACAGCATGTCAGCAGGGAACCTTCTGGCCTCCTGTAGAGCCTGCTTTCAGCCACTGCATTTTCTCCAGAGCCTGTCCTTCACCTCTCCCCTCCCTGACTACCCCAGATTCTCAGTAAACAGAGGCCTTGGCCTTAGGGTCTTCCTGAGACTTGTTTCTGTTTTCCCTCATCAATAAATGAATCAGAGCCTTCAAGAGACATCGCACTAGTGCAGAGCAGAGTCTGCTCCACCTCCAGCTCATCTGTTGTAATCTGCATTGGCCTTGCCATCCCTGAGTGAGGAGGATGTAGACAGGCTGCTGCTGCCACATCCCCCACCCCCCATTTTGTGAGTGACAGTAATCAGGGATGGGACAGGGCAGATGTGGCCTCAGTCCAGGTCTGGGTGTCCAGGAACTCACACCCTGGCAGCTACTAAAGGAGATAGAACCTGAGGACCAATAAGGCCCAGTGGACACTGTGGAGTGGTATGGAACTGGGATAGCATGGCCCTTTTAGGCTGGGCAGCTGAGGCCCCAACAGGCCATTGCTGGAGTGGCTTCAGCTCTGTAGCTTTCTCCACAGGTTCCTTCTGTTTGTCAGTAAAGCTAGATGAAATGCGTTCAGCAGGCTATTGAGATAATGGCAAGAAGAGGCCTGTGATGCCTCTTGCCCAGCAGCCAGGCCAGAAAGTGTTCTGTGGACCAGTTAGGTCCCTTCAAAGTTGGAGGATCCTCTCATTTCCAGAACATTCCCCATGCATAGATCAGGCCTTATAAATAGTCCTGTGGGGACCTGCTGGTTGTTTGTACTTGATCCAATGTCACATGCACCATGTTAGGGCTGAGTACCAGGAGTGATAGAATGGGAAGCAAAGATGTACACCCTGTCTTCTTTGCTTTCATGGTTTAATGGGGACTTGGGGACCATTATTCACATCAAATCATGGGTCTGTAATTACAGATGGAGAGGAGCTCAGTGGTGCCATGAGAGCAGGTGTTGGGGGACAAGGACCCCCAGAATGTGCATCTTTGTGTGGCTGTGAGCTGACAAGATGTGTTTGGGGTGAGAAGCCACTGCTTCAGCAGGGGAGTTGGATGCCCAGGACAGCTCTGGCTGGGGTTTTGGATTTTATCCTGTGAGCAATGGGAAGCCATTAGATCTTTTAAAGTAGAAGAGCGACATTATCCAATTTGTGGCATCAAGCATCGCTTGCCACCAGGGCTGGGCAGAGGAACTTGGCAAAGGCAGACAGCCATTCTTTGTCCAAGTGCTGGGTAAGCATTTGCTGTGCAACAACCATCGAAGCTGAAAAGGCTGTTCCTGGGCAGAGATAAGCAAATGCCTCCCACACTGGATGCAGAATGGCCTGGGTTGTGATGAAGATACTTACCACACAAAAGGGTGGGCTGGGGGCTCAGGGAACAGGAGATGGGTAAGTGAGACTTGGAGGTGCAGTCAGAAGGGCTCCAAGTGAGGTCATGCAGGCTGCAACAATGAAAACAGACATGCTCAAGTTGTGTCTGCTACAGGAGGTGCAACCCATGGAGCAAGTTCTCCAATAGCATGCCAAGCTATGTGAATGCCAGGGGCTGGTAGCATTCATTGGTCCTTCATCCTGTAGGGTCCCAAATGCTATGTGAGGCAGGCAGACTCTAACACCAGACCCTGAGAGCTGGGTCCTCAGGTGGTAGATAAAGAGATTGGTAGGTGCAGCCCCAGAGTGTTGGCCAAGGGTACAGAGACATTTTCATGTATACATACATATATACACAGCATACACACAGTTCAGCTCTCTTGCAGACAGGCTTTGAAGGGATTGTAGTATCTCCTACAGTTGACAGGACCATGGTCAAGCATGTCAGAATTGTAGGCTGACAAAATTTTGGATTTATTTACTTTTGTTTTACTTTTTTATTTTTTTGCTGGTCCTGGAACTTGAACTCAGGACCTGTGCTCTGTCCCTAAGCCTGTTTGTGCTCAAGGCTAGCCCTCTTCCACTTAACCTATAGCGCCACTTTTGACTTTTTTTTTTTTCCTGAGTAGTTTATTAGAGAGAATTCCTGCCCAGGTTGGCTTAGAACCATGGTCCTCAGATCTCAGCCTCCTAAGTAGGTAGGATTACAGATGTAAGCCACTGGTGCAGAGCTTTGGGGGTTTGTTTGGTTGGTTTTTAAGTTTTAAGTGGGAGCCAGATGCAGGTGGCTCACACCTGTAATCCTAGCTACTCAGGAGGCTGAGATCTGAAGATCACAGTTCAGAGCCAGCCCAGGCAGGAAAGTCTGTGAGACTCTTATCTCCAGTAAACCACCAGAAAACTGGAAGTGGCATTGTGACTCAAGTGGTAGAGTGCTAGCCTTGAGCTGAAGAGCTGAGGGACAGTGCCCAGGCCCAGAGTTGAAGCCCCAACAAAGAAAAAAAAAGTTTTAAGTGGGTTTCATCACTGACCACTTTCAAACCAAGAGCAAAGTTTCTTGGCCTGCCCTCTGATTTGGAGACTGCTCTTGACTACCAGAATCTGGTCAGCCTGTGTCCCAGGCTGTACTAGAGACTGTGCAGCTACCTCACCTGTCCAGTTTCTACCTGTGTCATGTGACAGATTCAGTGGTCAAGAGATGTTCATATTTGTAGCTTGCAGTTGTCTTTAATCAGGTGAATATATCTTGGTTCTGTACTCACTTTTCTGGGTATATTCCTCCCTTCCAGACACTGTAGGCAGCCCTCCTGGCTTAGAAGCATGTCCCCTTTTCCCCCTGAAAGCCCATAACTTCAACTACCAGGCATAGCTGCTACAGTTCTCCCAAAGTAGACACTGGCAGTGTCAGACTGGAGCCCTCAGGGTGAGCTCTCCTTGCAGCTGTAAAAGATACTGGAGCCTAGAGAAGGCTCTTTTTTAACAAAGCCTTTTTTTCCCTTTTACCCTTCTCCCTCCAAGAAGGAAGAACTTTTCCTGTAGTTCCTGTAGGGACATGCTGAGAAGGAGTGGGTTCTGAAGTAGATGTGAGAGTCCTGTATTCATGAGCCTCCCTTCACCTCTGACCATGACTATGGTCTCCTGTGGAGGAGCTGCGAGGACCAGGGCTGGTGCCAGTAGCATGGGCACTATGAGGATGGGGTGGTCACACACATGCATGTTCACATAGATGTATTCTCCACACATAAGAAGGTAGGCAAACCTTGTTCCATTTGTGTTAGCCACACCTATCCCATCACAGTGTCTTTTTGGCAAGAAAGACAGGTTGGCGTTGGTGTGGATCGTGGCATAGGCGCTGAAAGTCCTGTCAACTGGAACAAATCTGGGTTCATTATTTTTTGCTGTCAAATAGCAGCTCTGGCAAATCCTAAGTATAGTCTGTGGGTTTAGCAACTGGATATAGACTGTCAGTAATTCCAGAAGCTGGCGTGTCTGCACCAGTGCCTGTGAGTCACACTCTGGAGCCCCTCCATTTCCCAGCCACACTGTCTGCCTCCTGCCAGCCCACGTGGGCTTCCCCAAGCTCTGGGGATATAGGAACATTGGCCATCCTTGGGGAGACTGGAGTGCTTTGTGATTTTTCTCATGCCTTTTAGGCTATCTGTGTTTATTAGGAGTGGGCTCTGAGTAGCTGGACACATACCTGTCTCCTTTGTGGATTTGGATTGTGTGTCACCAGGTGAGCTATTTCACTAGTAACCCTGAAGATTAGTGTCTACTCTTCTCTTGGCCCGGCATGTTTTGGAGACTTGTACATGCCATGTGTGTGCCAGAGCCAAGTAAGGGTGAGCAATGGAGGCCCAGCATCAATAGAACTCTAGATCTATCTGGCAGTGGGTGACCCTGTCCTACCTGAGGGTATTGGCCCAGAGGCCTGCTTTCTCTCTTGAGAAGGAGGTGGGTCATAGCTAGTGTGAGATACCAGTGGCTGAGTAGGGTTTCACATCTAGTTTCTAGTCAAAGGTGGCCTCTCCTTTCAGGCCCTTCTACATGTGTAGATATGGCTGTTTGGGCCAACTTGAGGTAAGGCAGGACTGGGAACAGTGAAGTGACAATCCTCTGTGTTTCTGTACTGCCACACATGCATCCTAGACAGTGAGCCCTTGAAACCTCAAATCCAGGACAAGCCACTGCTCCAAACACAAGCATCTAAGGAAAGCCATGCTGTGGATGTGGGACATGACAGTATGACAGCAGGGGAAGGGGCTTCTTAACTGTGTTTAGTCTGCCTAACCAGTGCCAGGGAAGGAATCCTGTTAATCCAGGTCTACCCAGCCAGCTCACCTACCCCAGCCTTCACCAGAATCTCTGCTAACACTGAGTGGGAAGGGCCATAGTGTCTGCCTAGCAAAGGTAGGCACTGCTCAGATTCTCCTATCATGGTGGTAATGGGCTTACCAGGGAGCTGAGATCCATACCACACCTGACAAGAGAGGCAGAATAGGATGGCAGGGGCCCTTGGTCCCCTCAGGACCTGGTGTCAAATGTTCAACATAAACTCCTACTCCTACCATGTGACCAAGACAAGGTAAGACAGAGCCACTGGAGAGATGAGCTTCCAGCCCCCTGTCTCAGGGCTGTGCTTTACCAGAATGGCGCCAACAGGGCCTCTGGCATAGTGACACATCCGCTCTGCCCTTGGGTCCAGGCCCATGACATAGAGGCACATCTACAGAGCAAAGATCAAAA